TGCATAGCATACGCATGCAAATTTTGGATGCACTGTTGAATCCATCTATTAATTTTCTTGAAGCCTTGGGATACCCCAGTTTGATGTCCCAGCCTGGTTTGCCAGGAGCATTTCCAGTGCTACCTGCAAAATTTGTGGAGCTCCAGCTGAATTAAACTGGTGCTTCCAGTTGTGCGTGTATCTAATGCCAACACAGCTCCAAAATGACCGATTTCCCAACAGAGTAATTATCAACATGGGATTACCAGTATTTTTAAGAAGAGTGGATTTACATCAGAGCCCTGTTTTCTGAGCAACCTTACAGCAGAGACTTCCCTCTCTGGTCAGCACCAGGGGACTTACTCTTGGGGTAGAGCTTTCTGAAAGTTCAAACCTTCCCACTGCAAGAGGAAATTGGACCAGCTGAGAAATTAGGAACCAGCTTGTCAAATGAACACACACACAGTTAAGACAGTAAAATAAAGAGGAGATGAACAAATTATTCCTTCCCTCTTCCTCTTTCTCTTGCAAACACTGGGGCATTGCAGACTTACATTTAGGACAGTGCTCTCTCTCATTTTGTAAGAGCCATCCTTTCATTTTCCGTGCTGTGCTTTTTAATAGTTATTTAGGTATGGGGCAATAGTTGTGGACCACTCTTATATGGCATATGAAAGAATCTGTTCATAAAGAACAAGGGGAGAGACTGGACAGATGGTGTTTCATTAATCCTAACCCCTGGCCCCTACTTGCTTGGTTAACAGAGACATATCACCAGTCGTTTTGAGTGTAGGAAATCTTATTTCCTTTCTTAGGATGATAAACAGAACAGTATTCAAGCCTTGGTAAGTGGTATTGAGTTTCAATATTTTGGCCAAAATTTTATTTGATTATCATATTTTCTCTGCAGACGAAAAAGTTAAATTTTAAGGAAAAACCTGAAATCCAAAACATTTTGCTTCAGAAAGTAAATATTTTGATTTTGATTTTTGATATTTTCTTTTTTTTTTTTTTTTTTCCAAATGAAGGCTTTAGCCCTGTGGGTCATGCCCTGCAGTGGTACCTGTGGCTCTCCCATCCTCCCATTTAAACAAACAAAAGCAAGTCATAGAGAAACAGCTTCTCACATCTCCTTGGGCAGAGGTGATACAAAGTCCTTTACATTACTTTTGTAGGTGCTCAGCACTTCGCACATTTAGTACTAATAGGTCATAATGACTGCCAAAACCAGAATGCTCACTGTTCTCTTCTTGGCTCTTAACCTGTAGCAGGTTATCAATAAGTTGGGAGTAGGACCTGGGTAAGGTTCATAATATGAATTAGTGTGTTGGCCTGCCTACCTTTATATGGTGCAATGCTACAAATGTTTCTAACCAAAAGAAAAAGCCGGAAGAGCTAAAATTTATTTATCAGTGTGCCCTTGGTAGAGATTGCACATGTGTCAGGATTTCACCACACATTTTCCAAGAAATTATTGTATCTTTACATCCAAAAAGTTAAACAGTTACTATCAGTTGTTCTCAACTTGTCTGTGCCAAAATTGGTGAAACTGATACCAGCAAGTTTTCAATCTATTTTTACATATTTTGCATGCAAAATATAACGTGGTAATGCAGAGATGGAAGCTTATTATACCAAATTAAAAAAAAAAAAAAGTTTGGATGGGTTAGGAGAAGGGGAAATGCAAGCGTTCAACTCATGATGAAATGAAGAGCACTGAAAGCTGATGAAATGCTGTTGTTATTCTGCCAAATCAGTGAACAGGTATGCACATGGGCAATAAATACCAGTGCAGAGATGTGTAAGATGCAAACCTGTTCCAAAAAATGATGTACTCTGAAAAGAAGGATAGGCTACAAGATCAGTTTGACGTGAATGTGGAGGAGATGGAGAAGGACTTTTCTGCTATTTGAAATATTAATATTTATTGCGGGCCTTTTATTAAGTTTCTTCAAGGAAAAATATAGTTTGTGATTCATTCATACTTTTTTTTTTCTGCTATGTACCTCTATAAATTTCTACTGTTCCATTTTATATTCCTTATATAAAACTCAAGTAATATGTCAGTATACAACCTATTCCCAAATGAAAATTTTCATCAAGAAGAACTTATTAATTTTCCATTTGGCTAATTTGTTCTAACAGGACATAGTATAACCACAAAGGTATCTTCCAAAAAGATGGATAGAATTTGTCTTGGTTCTTTGTTCAAGTATCTGAAGTGCATAAGAATTAATATTTGGGCACCCTGAAAGCATTTTACATTACATTATTTTGGTTTTCCTTTTCTTTACTTTCTTCCCCATGGAAAGAAAAAAGAAAAAATCCTGGTTTGGTTTGTATTTTTTTTTCTTCAGTGAAATATAGAAAATATCCACAGACATTCTTTTCTTTTTCAGACAATCTTTTCTTTGAAAAAATATTATACACCAAATCCCAGCATGCTACTGATAAAGAGTTCAGGTTAGTACTTGACATTAAACAGTGGGAAAGGCTTTGTGAGAACACTTAGTTGACCTAATAATACTCCTACTTACATCAGTGGGAGTAAATTTAATCAGTGCTGAGAGTATTTCAAAGTCTCATATCTAAAATGTCAAAAGGTGCTATTTCAGAACATTGCATTTGAATCTGATATGCAATCATTTATTGTTTGGTATTTTGTTTATTTTTTGACAGCAAAGGTGCTGTATTTAAGTTATATGCTGAAGTGGAGATTTTACTGGTTTGAAGGTGGTGAGGCACTGTTACAGGTTGCCCAAGGAGGCTGTGGATGCCCCATCCCTGCAGGCATTCAAGGCCAGGCTGGATGTGGCTCTGGGCAGCCTGGTCTGCTGGTTGGCGACCTGCACATAGCAGGGGGTTGGAACTGGATGGGCATTGTGGTTCTTTTCAACCCAGGACATTCTAGGATTCTATGATTCCGTGGGATTGATGCAGTGATACTGGATATCATCAGTTGCTCAAATTAAACGATTTTAATTTCTGTAATTTTCAAGTACTTTATCAGCCACTGTTGATAATTTTCTATTATTAATACAGTGACAGCAAAAGCAATTTTGGAAGAGAGACAGAATGTGGAAGTGCTTCTGGGAAAAATGGAAGGCTTCAGGACATTTTCTGAGATTCTTGTAGTAAATGGAAACCAATGGTAAGGAAAGAAATACAACGAAAGAAGATATTAGCAATTTCTACATGTCACATTTCAGAATGGATTATTTCTGCTTTAACTAATAAGAATCTATAGAACGGAATGAGAGAATTATGAATTGGATGTTCTTGTTAAGGTCTAGTTCAGTTTAATTAAAACACGAACTCTAAAGCAATATATATATGTACATGTGTCTGTAGACACGTAGTCTGGTTTATCTATCAACATGCATACAAACCAATATACGCAATACAGACACCCTTGTTCATTATACCTAAACTTTGGCTTGAAACATAAAGCTTTATACATTATTTTAAACACGTTTTTAACACATGTTAATAATATTCATGCTGCTGCTTTGAAAAATCTGCGAGATGTAGTTAATGAAGAGAAACTGCAGCATAAATTGCATGTAAAATATGCAGTCCACAACAACATATTTTTTCTCAGGCTACAGTTTTTTTACATTAAACATCTTTTGGCTTGTTTAAATTTATTTGCTTTTGTTTATAAAGAGCATCATCAACCACCACTGCTTGAAACAACTGCAAGTAGTAAGCCAGGCAGTCTTCTTTCTTTAATAAGATTCTTTGGTTAAAAATAGATTTTAAGTATATCTCACATTAAAAGATGTAAATCCTAATGAAATGGCTGAAAATGTTTCTCATTTTCAGCGCTTTATTTCCCATAAAGCCAAACAGTTTTCCCTTTTTCTTTTTTTCTTTTTTTTTTTTTTTTTTTTTTTCTGAAGTTTCAGGAAAGTATTCATAGCTTCTTTCTGCTCCTGACAGCAGATAATCCATTGTGTATTTCCTGACCTGTGGTTTACTAAATGCATGTCATCTGGAGGTCCATTTCAGACACTTGTGCTTGCTCCAGTAGAGCACAAGATCATGTAATGCAGAACATGATGTTCCCTGTTCTTCATTTATTCCTGATGCATACTGGTTATTCCTAACTAAATATAAAGTTTGCACTTTTCCTTCTATGCTTAAATGTTATTTTGTAATTTCTGCCATTTGACAAGATGTTTTGAGACCTAATTCTATTGCCTAATGTACTGGATGTTCGTCTTTGCTTGGTGTCAGATTCACATGTTGCGCATATAGAGGAAATATTTGTATGAGCTAGTGCTCAGTACTCAATCTGTACTCAGTACTCAATCAATCAAAGCATTCATGGTTTAAGAAATTAGTCCACCCTAACAATTGCTTACCTTTATTAGTGTTATTGTTATTTGGGGAACTTTCAAGACTACAATTTAGGACAGAGTCCTGTTGTCGTAATACCCTGTAAAAACACACATGGAAACAGAAACCCTGATACAAATAATCTGATGAAAAAATAGACACAGTTACAGAGTGTGACAGGTGGTGATTTATATACTATCTACATCACCCAATCAGTCATATTAGCACTATATGCAGCTTAACAGTTCTCAATCATTTTAAATTGTGTCAATAAATGGGTTTATGTGCACCTTGGAAGCCATTCTTCATAGAGCTGACTTCCTAATGCCACCATGGAAGTCTCAGATATTGAAAAATAGGTGAAGAGAGCCTTGGACTGGACATGGCATAAATACACACAAGTGTAGGTGTGACACAGAATTGTGTCACAGGACTGTGACAGATAAAGAGGCAGTGAATAATACAGAAGGAGAGGTATAGTGCTGTAAAGATAGAGCTGAAAAAGGTATAAGGATAGGCAGAAATGAGCCTAGGATAGGTGGATATACGATCATATAGGATCCTATATAGGATAGGATTGTTTTATGGAAGGGCTTGTTTAAAAGCAGGAATTCCTTTTCCTCCAGGACTCATAGGATTTGTGCTGGTCCTACTGAAAAGGAGAAAGTAGCAGTCCCACTGTTGATTATTTCCCTTTTCACTGAATTGACTTGGAAGTCAATTTACCAAAGGTAGGAAAACATAAGTTCTTTTTTTTGGTTTGGGTTTTTTTTTTTTTTTTTTTTTTTTTTTTTTAATGTGGATGTTAGTTTAAATATAATTGTTCTACTTTGCATGTCTGTATTAACCCAGTCTTTTGATTTTCCAAATTGGTGTTTTAAACCCCTCTGAGCTGGTGAAAGAATGGAAGCCAAATGAATAATTTCGGATTTGAGCTGGCGCCTATGAGAGATAAAGAAGCAAGAATTGATTCTGTGTTTTTGAATTGCTTCTTTCAATTCAAGTCCTTTTGAACTGTTTTTATATTGCCAGCTAAGGTTTCTCTTTCAGGGGTGTGCTTCTTTGTACTAAAACTACTCAGGTGAGCAACAAACTGCAGTGTCATGCAGTTGCAGATTTTTTGCTTCTGCAACTAAAACCAGGACTGGTTTGTTCCTTTCTCTTGCTGTTTCTGATGCTCCGCTGCCTGATTTATTTGTGTTGGGAGATACCTGAAGCCTAGCGGTGTAGGATAGAAAAAGTAGAGGGAGCTTACCTACAGAATTGTAGGCTTTTGTTGAAGGTCTTCAGAAGAAACACGAGGCGTATTTGAATTTGAAGCATGATCTGCATGAAGCAGATTATTATAAAAAAGTTTGAATTTGAGCTAGGAAGGGGCTATTTAAGTTGACGTGGATACCCTTAGCTTAGAGAAAATGAGCCTTCATAAGTTTATGTGAGTTGCTGTTCTGGAACTTGCCAAGCAAGGCAATTTGCTGACTTCACAGGTACAGCTGACTTTCAGATTTGCAGTCAGACTTTAGGCCCTACATCTCACCTCACTCAGCAGGATCAAATTTGAGCAGTTTGTACAGCTTTTCTGTTATAGTATCACACCCCCAACTTGCTAAGGATTGCTGTCTGAAAGAAAGAAAATAATGCTTATTTTTAAAATCTGAATTAAAGAAGGGAACAGGCACTGAGAGCCACAGCTAGAGGTCATTTATAATGGAAGAAATTGTACACGCTCTCCCACCTGTAGGCTGTGGCTCAGCAGTACCTGCTGAGTTGTGAGCACGTATATATTCCATGGACTTCCCAATACGTATCTTTTGATTAAGGTACATATGTAAAGGGGAAGGCCACCTTGAATCAGGCTGGGGAGACATGCAGCTCAAACCAGTCAAGAGTGTTGTGCTTTTCCCCTCGTGGTGACTTGTCCAAACTGGGGGAAGGGGTATGCTTCTGCAGCAGAAAACATAGGGAGCGAAGGAAGAATCCTATTAATGCTGGCTGCTCTAATGCAAAACCAGATTTCATTTTTAGACTTCTATTTTCTACTTTAATTATATAAATCTGAACATACTTTCGAGATTATGAAATAAGAGCTGAGAAGCCAGTTATTTTTCATCATTTATTTTTAAAGCAAATTTATCTTTGAATTGTCATCTGTTAAAATTCCTGAGAAGCATACCACAAATGAGTACAATATGAACATGATTTTCCACGCCAGCCCAATTCAAATAAGTGATGTAAAGATTTTGTTTTATTTTATTTTTTTCAGGATTCCTTAGAACAATTCTACTGAACAGAAAGTGTGACCAGTTCCACCTGAGTAATACCTGGGTCATCCTCCACGTTAGATGTGCACACATATATTTGTAAGTAGACACAAAACTAATGCTAAGCTCAGCCATGTATTGGCAACATACACTCATTAAATCTTCAGTATAACAGATTCAGAAACCTTGAAATACTCTGTAGAAAGGAAGAGCTATGGAAACAAAGGAAAGAACTAAAAAGTTCTTTCTTTTCTTTAAAAGAAATGACAGGGAGGAGGCTCCTAAATGCTTCCCTTCCTTTCTGATAGCCACCTCCCATTTAACGTCCTAAACTTAAAATTTTGCTTCATATATTTGGATTTCCAGGAATTATTACCATCATGTTGTATCAGTATAGGAGAGAGTTGAGGGAGAGACTGCGAAATTTTAGAAGTATACTTTATGTTCCTTTCTTACCATTTTGGGTAAGCAAACTGTTGCCCTTTATACTACAATTTTGAGAAGCTTCTGTAGCACTTACCCCCTTTCAACATAACAGTTGCATTTCTTTCATAGCTCCTCTCCCCAGCAATCATTAGGGATGATTGGTACACTTTCTAAACTCAGGCTTATTGGCAATATAACTACCATCTGTTTTATGCTTGCTGATAGTTTCTGTATGTTTCTCTCGATAGTTACAGGATTCTGCTCTCTGTTAAAGCTCTCCAATCTCTTTATCCTTTGCTGTGTCACAAAGAGAGAAAGTTGTGACCCTCAAGTCCTGGTCACCATATGTCACAACATATAATGTCCTGACTGCCATTTGTAGGTCAACTCCGTCCTCTGAACAAGCTTGTTTGGTCTCCCCCATCCTGAAAATTTGAAATTCCATCTGGTTACTTTACTATGAATTCAACAGATATTTTATTTAAGAATGGCCACATTTCTCTTTCATGTGCAGTTTGCTTCCTTCTGCCAGAGTGCTTCAGAGCAGTTGGTGGCATCTGTTTAACACCACATTTATCATGATCAGGCACTGATTGTTAATATAGCCACATAGCACTTTTACTCTACAAATCTTAGAGTATATCTATGCCAAATATCTTAAATTCTTTTTTTGAATTATGCTTTTTGCATTAATAAGGCACACTTACCTGTGTATTACCTGGCCAAGGTTATTTCAATGCAGACTCTGTACCCTGCTGTTTTCTAGCCCCAGCCAAACCATTCTTCCCCCTGTGGATTTTCTTTAACCTGAGTCTGTGCAATAATGTCATCTTTTCTAATCAGGCAGCTAAAAGTGCTTTTTCTCTGTGTGGATTGAATGATTGCAACTGTAAATTAAAACCTAGTCCTTCCTTTGTAGCTTAAATATTTGGCATCTAAAATATGCCAAAAAGTGATTACTTTTGGGGGTCCAGTGAAGGAATCCAACTGTGATATAAAGAGAAAGAAATATGAGAAAAACAAGCATTTATCACTTTGCAATTTACATACCAAGTTTAGCCCAGCTATGATTTAAAACAGCACATAGAGCTTTTAAATTGATCTTTGAACAGCAAAGTTGAGCTTAACGGCAGAAATGTCATAAGCATTGTTAGGAAATAGTAGAATAAAATAACAACATTCATTGCTGATATCTCCTTGAAGCTTATTAACTCCTTGGTGCTAAGAAATATAATTTGATGTCACCAACTGTTGCAGTGTGTTTTTGCACAAGCTCTGATGGACTGAGTCGCCCATATCCATCTCCAGCGGGTCACAGTTACAACTTAGCACTTTCATTAAAGGTTGCGCTCTTTATTTAGTCACTTTTGTTCTACTTGGAAGTCTCTTCTGGTTAATACATATTTTGAAGCCAGAACCTGTGCTGGACTCTGTTGTTAACCAACCTTCTGGGACAGAAAAGTCTAAACCCAAGTACAATTATGAATCGAATAGAGAAAGGAAATTGGAAGGAGGAACTAAAGATATTTTACTCTTATGAATCAGTACACAAATACAGATTTATAGTCTGCATATGTGTTTTGTTTTCACTGATGGTTGTAACTAAGGACACCTGTAAGTCAGGGGAAAAGGGAAAGAATGAAATATGAATGGAAGAAAAATGTAATAATATGCGGCATTTTGGAGCTGATTCGGAATCTGTTATGTGAGACTTAAAAATTAGTTGTTCTTCTTCCTGGAAAACCTGTATCATTTTGCTGGTGCACTTTAGTGTAAAGTATGAAATATAATGATTTTTTAAAAAGATTCTTTCAGTGTTTCCAGCGGAAATGTTGAGCTAAGTGTAGAATTTGTGGGATCAGTTGGCTTATAAATAATGATCCTTTATGCTGGCATTGGGAAATCCGTGTTCCCACAGCTAGTTCAATAAAGCAATTAATATCAATGAATGCTGAAGAAAGCAAATCTCCATTCACTTTTGTCTGGATTAGTTAACATAAGAAAAATCCCATCCCTCTCCTAGAATATTTAGCCTGCTCCTAGGAAGACATGCTAATGAAAGGTAAATACAGTGTGCTGCTTGACATATGTTTGCCATTCTTTCCCGCTCCTCATGTCCCACACTTTCCCTCTTAGAAAACAATTAACATTTTTCTGTGGAAATCTTCGCTGTAGCAGTTTTGTTTCCTGTATCCCTCCATGCCAAACCTGTCTTGTCATTAGCCCTCAGCATTCCGGCTGGTGTTTCTAGGTTAGTTCCTGCTCAGCTGAATTTCATTACGGAGGGGCTTCACCTCCCAAACTAGCAGATAATGTGTCTTAGGCACACAGGTCTGCTGAGTAAAACCTCCCTGTTTCCTTGGCACTGCCTTCAATTCAAGGGCACGTGTTTCTCGTCTGACAGGGCATATTTCTGTAGCCCGCGTAAAGTTGTCTACTGAAGGAAAAGGAAGGTCTGTTGAGGGAATGGGTGTGGTTTCTCTGACCTCATCCAACAGCAATGAATTTGTGCGTTCAAGCCTCTGTAGATCAAATTTTTTGATAAAACGGAGTCATAAAACAGCCCTGAACTTTTCTTGCATTTGGCTGCGTTATCTGAGATTTCACACACAAGCAGTAAAAAGCTTAAAAGATTTTTATCTCGTAGCAGCCAAGAAGTGTGGTAATAAGGTAAAGGTTGAGAAGCATTGTTGGCATAAGAAATCCCCTGCTTATGCTGGATTTATAACACACCCAGTTTAGTAAGAACTGGCGCTGCTGAGCATTTTCTGACAGTGCTGGGATAATATATTGCAAAAGGCAGCACAGCCAAGTCTCACACCTGAGAAGTAAGGCACACTTCATTCTGCCGATGGAGAAACCTAAATCAAACCTTAACTTTACTACAATGCAATTACACCTCTCTTAGGAGCCCCAACTGTACAGAGCTGAGGTATAAAACTTGTGATTTTGGTATACTGTAAGAGTTTATTAACCCCTTAAGTATTTGTATATGCTCTGATTTTGGAGGGATAGCCTTTTAAAGTTTACTAGGCACGTTTCAAAGGAAAGTAATAGTTTCTGGTGGGTGATGCTACGGGTGTGAGGCCAAAGCAGGTTTTCAATGAAGCTTAATTTTCAGAGAGTAAATAAAACAATATGTGGACCTTTGGACTGCATTTCCTCTCGTTAGTGTGTGCTGTGAGACCTACCTCACGCTTCAGTCAGAAATGCTGCTTGGTGAGAGAATGTACTTTCCATGTCTGTATCTGTGAAAGTCTGATATTGCTCTTTAACATTCCCTTAGCTTATCTGTGAGCTTCCATACCTTGCCACAATCACCTCTCCTTTCTCCTAGCAGTAGGATTAATAAAAAAGATGTATTGTTATAATGAATGTATGCTAAAGCTACAGAGGCAGAAGAAAATAAAAAGTTTTGTGTGTGCAGATGTGTGAGCTGCACCAAAAAGGGAGTGCTGAATATGAACTCGTGCACGCTTTTATTCTGTGTGCTATTTCTCTTCATCATATATACTCTTTTTCTAAAAGATCAGATTTCACAGCCTTTAGTTCTTGTGATTTTACTTAGCTCATCTTCCTTCCATATTTCATACTGTGTTACTATTCTCGTGTATGCTGTTTTGTACCTCCAGTGTTTTCCAAGCAGAAGAGAAAAAACAGAGGAGTTCAAGCCTCACATTTGGTCTATTATTATGACAGTGGGAAGTTTGACTTAAGAAAAAATGTAGTTGGAAAAGAAATAGAAGTAGACACATTAAGGCTGCAACAAGAGTTAAACTGAAAAATGGACAGTTTTTCTTGTAATGTGGGGGTATCATTGATATGAAGACTACTGATACAGCATTTTACATTTTTATTTCTTTGGTTCCTATAAAATTGATTTTTTTTCATTATGCATCATTATTGCATGATAAGGAGCATAAGATAAAAGAACCAAAACAATATTTTGCTTCCGGTTTGGTCAAACCTAATAAAAATTTCAGTTTGTCATTTCAAAGAGAAATAGTTCATTTTATATCAGCTTGACAGTCATCCGTGCCAGCTTACATTGATACTTTTAAAGACTTAAAGCTGAAGTTCCTCAGACTTTGCTTTTCTGGTAAACGCTAAATTATGATGTTGGTTTATAACCGTCTATGATGATCAGCCCAACAGGTTGAGTTACTTTAATACATCATGGAGATTCTGTTATTTTAGGGTAACTTAGAAGTTGGTGTGTGAAATGTTGGTCTGCAGGAAAAGACTGAGTCATGAAACTGCCATCAGATTTTCAGCTTGTTGCTCCTGACAGCTCTAGGAAGAGCTAGCATGTGGCCTCTTCTCCCCACTCTACACAATATTAAGCAGACTGCTGTCCACTATGGGCAAGAGAGGTCTCCTTTACTGCCTGGGAAGTGTTGCTGTTTGCATGGCTCTTAAATCAGCTCTATCTGCAAAGTATTGGAGCATTTTCAACAGACACCACCAACACCCCCCAAAAAGCTTCCCAGTGTTCAATAACTGGAAATTTTGTATTGAATAGGGCAACAGAACCTAGTAGCCTTTTAATTGAATGGTGAATTATAATGTAATGTATATTTTGCCACTTCTGTGTTTTGGCTATAATTTTATAAGACGTTGGATCTCTTTTTTCATAGCTACGAGGCACTGCACTTCCAACACTGCTGAATGTCATGGAACAGGTTTGGCTGAAGTGCAGACAGCAACAATACAGCATGTACCATTTCTCCCTGCCCTGCAAAAGCACTGTTGAAATCTGCAACTACTGGCTGATGTCATTTTTTTTGCTTTCAAACAGAAAATAAAAAAGTTACAAAACTAGTCAGCACCAGAAGAAAGTATATGGCTGCACTAGAGGAATTTTGGACGTTTACCAATGTTGCTTTTCAGGTAAAAATATGTCTTCTTTTTCAGGTAAAAATAAACTAACCTTCTTCAGATAATACAGGTAGCAGCAAACTTTGGCTGTTCTGTAATTCCCAAACACTTATCCCCACATACACTTCCTGTTCTCTGACTCTTGTCAGCTGGAAAAGTCATTATCTGTATGGAGAGCTTTGCATCTGTCAGCTGGGAAAGTGATTACTTAAACTGATAGCAATAGCAGTTGTTTTAGCTTAAAATGTCTTGCTGTGTTTTTGGGAGGTTTTCTTTCTTTTTCTTTCTTTTTTTTCTTAATTGTTTAGTCAGTTTTTCTTATTAATTTTGTGAACATCAAGCATCTAAACAATATCGACAACTCCGTTTCCTGCTAGGCAACCATCAGAAATAAACTTTCCCTGATAAAGCACATGAGAATGACATTTGTAGAGGGTGTTCTTTGAATTTTTACTATGACCTTAAAACATAAGTGTTTATTTGCACCCCTTTCTTTTGTCCCTTCTCTTTAAGCTGCTTCATCCCCATTGCTCTTCTGTCCTACACGTGAGAGGCCAGCACTGGTGGTGTAAATTCTGCCCTCGGGTCATACTGCTTGTTCTCCAGGTACCATGGATTCAAAGCTGACAGGAGCTGGAGCCATCCTAAGTATGTTGAGCAGACTGAAAAACGATGTTTTGTTAAAGGAAAAATGGAAGTGTAGCCAGTAACCATCCCTCTTCAAAGTCATCCTTTTTTCCGATCATGTGAATTGCCTTTAATTGCTTATGAAGAACATAATAAATATTTTGTTCTTCTGAAAAGTTGTTGTTCGATGCCTCAAACTTTTCTTTATAAAATTGAGGCCAGTTCCAAAATACTCAGAAGTATGACTTCACTGAATGCTCTTAAAATCCATATTTAGTTCCCAAATAAGTAGCCTAATTTTCCGTAACACTGTGTAATCAGTAAGTCTCATTGACCTCACTAAGAGTGTCTGCCTTCTCAGCATTTCCAAAAATGAAAGCAATTTTTTTGTAGTCAAATATACTCAGAGAGCCTTAAGTTTTGAAAGAAAGTACTTTCTGAGGAATACTGAACTTTCTGTTCCTTTTTTTTTTTTCTTTTTTGAGAGAGAGAGAGAGAGAGATAGCCATGATAAAGAATCGCATGTGTTTTGCCTTCAGATGCTTATATGTTACTGTATTCAAAGCTGATATTAATCTTTTATTAGATTTGAATTACGTGAGAGGATTGAGATGTTGTGGGCTGTGCAGGAAATAAAAGAACAGTTGTGGATATGGCTGGAAAATGTAGAAATTCCTATCTCCTCATTTCAGGTGATTTTGGAGTTTAAATGGTGCTTGGATTGGTGTAACGTCATTTTAGAGTTTAATGTTGTCTGCACTATTACCTCAAATCCTGATTTTGTCATTTTGACTCTTATCTTGTACTTCTTTATGACTTGAAACAACTTGTTGTCATTCTGCTATCAAACGAACGATTTGTTATTCTTAGATCTGCTATACAAATAAGGCCATGAGGACTGCTAACTGTGTGTTTATCCTGTGAAATATCACAAGCTGTTATGAGTATTTTATTAAACATGAAGCTTCTCAATAAATCTTATATTTAATTTGTGACAAAATTTAACTGAGAAAAGTTCAGAATACACTCCTGTAACACCCTTTTTCCAGTCAGGAGATGTGAAATTTACCTCTTCTTGTAATCTTATGGAGACAGAATTGTCTTGTATTTAAACCTGTATGCTACAGTCCTCTGTTTCACTAGTGGTGGTCAAACTTCACTTTTTTCTTTCCCCATCACCAACATTTGTCATTATTTATGGCCCACTTCAGATTTTTTTTTAACCAAGGAGTGTCTCGTGCATTTGCCTTGAAACTTGAAGACAGAATAGACGAACCTGCAAGGCAGTGCTTTATGAGGGAAAAGGAGTAACGTGCTAGGAAGGAAAACCCATGGGTAGTTTGCAGCCCTAAGGCTGAGAAATATTTTAAAATCCTGACAAAGTTCCCTTTCCACCTCTGTAGTGCTGTGCAGCCTTCCAGAGTGTCTTTCTGGAGGCCTCAGATCTGGAAAAGCTGGAGTTTGCTCCTGTCTTAAATGCCTATGAGCATCATCAAGAGGTGGCAGCATTAGCTTTACTGCCCTCAGCTGAGCAGTTCCTATCTCCTAGCTGGGAGGAAGAGGGACCCTGATGCCCAAAGCCACAGCCATGAGTAGAGGTATCATATGGAATGTGTCACTGGAACGTATGACTGTAAAACATGGTGATGCAGGCTGGGATGTTATCTGTTCTGGCATCTCCTGATTCATATTTTATATTTCCAGTACCTTCTTGAACCTCATTTTACCACCCCTCCAAATGTCAAGGTTTCCGCAGTTTCCTTAGGAAAAACAGTGCTGTAATAACTTCAACATAGATTAAAGCAACCAGTAATTCCCTTCCATTTTAGCTGCTTTCTTTTATTTTATAGTCTGAAGGAAGTTGTATACAACTATCCATTAAATGATAATACTCTTTAATTTTCCTCTGAGTTTTGTTCTTTTTTTTTCTTAGTTCAAGTATTTTTATGGTAATAGATGCAGACACTTCCTGTATGTTGCTGTATGCATTTTCCTAACAAGTCCACTCTTCTGCAGCCTTGCATCTTTTCTATAGTTTACACCAACCCAATGCATTACAGAGTGATACCATGCCAGGATATTTCTGCTAGTGCAGAAGTGCAGAAGTAGTTTGCACAGATGAAAATGCTGCACTGGATGTAAGAGCTGGAAGTTCTGACCCATTGTCATGCCATGAAAATCAGAACCTGTAGCACCTGCAGTGTAATTGAAAGTGCCCACTTATTTCATATGTAGAGTTTGTCATAAAAACCAGTTTCACAGGTGCTATCTACACATGTACCACTTGCAAAACAAGTTCTTTATGATTTAATTTTGTTTAAACTCACTCTGTTCTATCATGCAGGAATCACATGCTGTTCAGCAAGGAGACAGGCTCCAAGTAGCTTAGCTCCATCTGATGTGATAGCTGTATCCTATCCAGTCATCAGTTGAAACCCACCAGTGGCCAGGCCTGGATCTGGGCTTATTAAACACATTATCATCAAGGTATGCTGTATTATATATAGAATTCAAATTTTTCTCTTGTAAGATACTCTTTATGTGTCAGGAATTATTTAAATGTTTCCATGTTATGAGAAGATTGTGAAGGTTTTAGTTTACCAACACTTTGATTAGCAGGCATGTGGGCATTTGCACGGATACTACAGGTGAGGTACAGCTTATTTATATTATTTTTAAAAGAGTTTTGGTTGGATTTTGAATGTTTTCACTTCTGTAATTTAAAAAAAATATTTATTTTGCCAGACTTTGTACTCACGGGGAATTAGCATAAAATTTTGTTTCAATAACATGAACTATTAATTTGGTGAAACATTACTTTTCACATCACTGATTCCTCTGCCACTTTCCTTAGAAGTGCACCAACTGTTGAACTTAAAAATAAGCCAGTAACAACTTCAGAGAGTGGAATCTAAGCCCATATGATAACTGATAGCAATTTCAGCATCCTCCTTGTTTTGAAAGAACATTTCTGATGTAAAATAAGACTGCAGAACTCATAAAGTATTGGAAATTCATTGTAGAGTGTAATTATCTGACTTTTAATAATTACCAAGAAATGTGTGTATGGACTTTAGATTTATATTGTTATTTGAATAAATAAGAACAAAACCTTTCAAATGAAAACATAAAAAGAAATTTTAATTATATTTACAAAACAGTTACTGATACTTAAATTAGAAATTTTGGCAACTCATCAGTAGGGATCCTCAACTACCAACAGAAGCTGTGACTCTGGGTATTCACAGAAGTAGGGAGGAATTTTATCTTAGAACAAGAATGATAAATTGAGTTTTCTCTGTCTCATAAATAGAAATAGACTCACAAACATTAAATGTAATGATATTCTGTACAAGTTTGCTTTCGTTACTATTTTTCCACTGTTTTATATATCTAGTGCATCTGAAATCATCTGTCCTTTTAGGAAGATAATAAACCAAACAATAGCAGTCTGTATTGTGAATTAACTAAAAGGGAAGCAGTGCACAACTACTTCATAATGAAGGACAGAACGATTACAGGATTTACTTACATAGGTGGTTTTAATTAGTGATAAGCAAACTGGACAAAAACGATGGTCTTTTTCGTATACATTTGTATTCCAGCACTTAATAGTTTGTCTGCAGGAGAGAAACCACATTTCATGATTGTTCACCACTACCCAGTGACCCCCATAGGGCAGTATGAGCTGAAAACCATGTGTTTCAGTGGATGTGGTATGGGAGAGATGTCAAATGCTGCACTGTGAAGTGATCACAGCATCTCATACATCTTATTAACAAGAACAGAATTCAGTTGCCCAAATGAAAATTGCTCTTGACCAGACAAGGAGACTAAATGAGATTGTGCTATATATCAGTTAAAATACAAATTGCCCCGTGATCATTATGAATTTTTAGAAGATAACTTCTGTTTCATGTGGCATCAGTGTTCTTGGCATCTCTCACTATGGTATGCAGTCCTGGAATCAGGCCACATTAACCAGCCAAGTATCATTGCCTTTTGATCCAAAAGCACAGGAGAGTAGAAAAATAATTCTCCAATGTCAAAATCTATTTTCTTACTTTTTGCAGTAGTTAACATTTTGTGATATATATGCTCAAGCCCATAATCTTATAATGAAACACGGTATGTTTTATGAGGCTACCAGCACATATGTGGGAAAGAAATATGATGCATCTTTAAACTTTGTAAGAATGAAGATTATTTATGTTTTGTGTGATGTTAGAAGTTAATATTTTGAAATCTTGCTGTGGTTGTGCTGTGTAAAATGAGTGTTGCTGTTGCTTAGGTAACACATCATCGTGTCTCATGAACATAGATTCCTAAAACTTGAGAAGTTTGTTGTATCTAGCTCATCTATAGGAGTTGAGTATATAGCTGTGAGTCTTGTGAGTTTGTTTGCCATTGTGGAGAGGTAGTTCTTATTTTGTTGCTTTGTGGTGTAATCAAGTGAGGTCCACAGAAATTAAGGGAACTGTCCAATCTACAAATGCAAATGAGATTATTTATTGTTTTCTCATACATTATTCTTTTATATTTAGACTTTTTGGTATTTCTCTTATTCTGGAATTCACAAGCTGTCTTGCTTGTCAGAATATTTATTTCTTAAAAAATGTATTACTAAATTTTTTTATGAAAGTTTTAATTCAGCAAAAGAAAAACACTTACGAAGTTGAATTGTTCTTTGAACTTTTAACAGTAAAATATGGTATTTTTTCAACGACATTTGGCTGAATATCTTCTTATGCTTCTTGTAAGGTAATTGCTGATGATCATTGTTTCAGAAATGGTTAACAGACTGAAGATTAATTGGTTAGAAAAAGATTAGTTCTCACACAAGTAAGTTTGGGTTTCATCTACAGGTGAAACCAAAAGAGGGGAAAGTCTAAATCAATACTATCTGAGGTTCAGCTGGAACTATTTTGAATGAGGATGATGTTATGTGAGTATTTGTTTCTCATATTGAAATACACTTAGAATGGTCATTAAAGCCCTGTGGTGGCCATTGTCATTATTGTAGTTAAGATAGGAGATGGTAGATATTACCTTATAGCTTTAATTTTACTTTATTTGCAAGATTTTCAACTTGGCTGAATAATTACTGGAGTCTTTGTGTTGACTTCTAAATTTAAAGCTCTTTTTATTGTTGTTATTGCAAGAACTTGAATTTTTAAACTCTTTAAATGTCTCTCATTCACATTTCACAGTCAAGCAGAAATGCAAAGAGTCTAAATGACTTTCCACAAGTAATGCAAAAAGTTAACACGAAAATCTGGGTTGGATGCATGTAGGAATATGGTGGGATCTGTGCAGATAGGTACAAACTTACAGGGCTTGTGACCTAACTCATGAAATCCATATAATTTCCTCATAGAAAGTTGTGCAGAATTGTTTTGAAAGATTAAGGCCTGCTAAGTTCATGCACAGGAGTGTGAGCTGTTCAGTTCTTCAGAGAATAAAGAAAAAGACAAGAGTTTGACAAGTGAGATTGTCCTCTTAAAAAAAAAAAAAAAAAGTTTAAATTGCAGTTCAGTTGAATGTTCATTTATTCATGTATGTATTTAAAAGTTTCTGTAGCCACTTTCAGGTCTTCAGGTGATCATGGGAGGTACAGATGTTGAACACAGTTCCATGGTAGAACAGTTGCTTCCAGTGTTGTTGACCATCACAAACACGTGTTGTGGAGGCATGTGCCTGAAGGCAGTAAAATGGTCCTGTATAAGACCTAACATAGTGTAATTGAAGTCTAGGTGATTACCAAAGCTCCGTGATTTGACAAGCCTTCCAAAATTTCATTTTCAGCCATGGTCACCACAGCAAATACATTTTTAGTTCTAAATGGTTGAGAAGAAATTTGAGTGTAGTGTTGAAGTCAGGCTGCAACTTGTGAACACTTTCACATCTTTCTTTGGTTTTCACTGAGTATCAGGTGTTGTTCAGTTGCAAGAAGGTTGCCATCAGAGTGGACCACTGGTTCACTATAAACTGCCATGCACTTATCTAACAGCCTGAAGGTTATATTACCTTCTATCTTAAAGTAAATAGAACCTTAAACCATGAATTATTCTTGAACCCTCTGAAAGTTTCCTGTAACTGGAAATACTGACTGCAGGATTAAAAGCCTGCTGAATTCTCAATGACAGATCAAATGTAGAGCAGTGCAGTGTGTGTCGTGATAAAATAATATGGGCGTATAGTAATGCATAATGGCACGTGACAGGTAAATAAATAAATTCAAGATGTAAAATAATTGGGAGGCTCTCTTTCTTCCTGTGAAGATCATCAATATACAGTAAGTGTTTTAAAGACCAGCGTTTAAATTATTAAGACCGCCAGTTTAATGAAAACATAACAGCTCGTTTTAATAATTCATGACAACAATTCGACACAAAGCACACCAAATATTTTTAGCATGTGTCTCAAGAATAGCTGTGTGCAGATATCCCCAGTATCAAAATATGCAGTGCTACACACAGTAGTTTCTTATCTGCTAGGTCTGGCAAAGGGAATAAACATTTTTTCCTGATGAGAAAATCAAAGTTGTATGCCATTTCAGTGAAGTCAAGTTGACACCTGCAGAGAAGCAAGTCATGACATTTTAGCTGACTGCTTTCTTTTTCTCCCTGTTGTGTTTAGTTTCCTCATTTTATTTACCCTGACAGACAAAAGAAACCTAGATGAATATGTTTAGAATTTGGTGTCCTTTCTCAATTTTTTTTTCCCTCCCCACTGTTAAATAAGTAGTTCATGCATACTGGGCTGTGACAGTTCTACATGGAAGAAAAACACTTGAACATATTTGTATGAAAACACTACATCCCTCCTTTCTCTTGAAATCCCTCCCACCCCCACCCTGATTTCTCAAACCTAGGTACATTTATCAAGATAATAAGCTTCAGATTTTGTAATAAGAGATCTATTTTCTTGTCATCCTGGTGCAGTCTTGACTGACTGAGCTAGTAAGTTTCTTTAAAAAAATATGAATTTAGGATCAATAATATTTACAGCCTCATTTATAAAGCAGAAGTCAAAGGCATGTATAATGCCATATTTATTAAGAGAACTTTCTCCAGGGACTTTACTGGCTAGCCTCTAATCCTACTTCTACTTTTTAACATCTCATTCTCTATCAAAAGCAACAAAAAAAGTTGCAGGTGTTCATAAATGTAAAGTAGTGCATAAGAAAGTTCACAAATTTTATGTATTATGACCTAATATTGTAGTCTACAGCACTCATCAACTGGGCTTTTCCTGGCTCTAGCGTATTTTTGTTAACTGTGGATACCATTAAAGAATATGTTAAAGATATTGTAATAGAATTGAAATACCTTTTATTACATCAATATAAGTTCCATTTACTGTGCAATAAGACAGTGCTTAATAATTTTATATTGCAAGCATAATTATGATATCAAATTAGTAATTTTCACAAAGTACTTGCATTAGACACTCATATGATACGATACTGTATATTCTACTTCTCA